ATCTGGTGCCAGGGAGCAAGCTGGTCAGTCACGTGCAAGGCAAAAGCTTTAACCCCTGTCCTATCTCTCTGCCCCCCCCCCATGCTTCCTAGTCTAACCTGCACTCAGATGGCTGGCAGTCACGTGACTTCCCCAAGGTCGCCTGAGAACTCGGCAGTCGAGTGCCTTAGGGGACAATCAAAACCCCGAGAATTGACTCTGCAACGACCACCACTCACATTTCTGTTGATACTGACACTGTGTACGGGGGACTTATCAAAAATGGCATCATTTTCAGGGTTAGTACAACAGATAAGGTATTTGCCTTGCACATGGCCAACCTGGGTTTGATCCCTGGCACCCCACTGGGTCCCCTGAACCCACTAGGAGAGATGCCTGAATATAGAGCCAGGAGTAAGCCCTGAGCACTGCCAAGTGTGGCCACCTCCCCCGCCCACTCCAAAAAGAAAAAAAATCACATTTTCTTCATTTTTGTTTTGAATTATCACCTGTTGACATGTCTTGTCAAACAGGAACAACTTTTAAATTAAAAAGTATTGTTCTCAGAATATGGAGCACAGGGGATCCCTGGGTGATAGGCCAAGTTGGGATGCTGAAGGGAAGAGGACTCTGGGGGGTGTCAGGACCTCAGGCTCTGGAATGAGGAGACAGAGATTCAAGTCACAGCTGCGAAAGATGACAGTCAGACCCTGGGCAAGTCCATTTCATTTACTTGAATAGCACTTGGTGCAGACTAATTCTAAATACTCTGCAGCTATTCAATGACTATTAAACAAGTCAGCTGCACTATTAGTATCTACCTTAGGCAGCATTCAAATATATATATCCATATTCCATTGACAAAAGAGAAAGAATGCACCTAACCACTGCACTGTTCTAATTCTGGTTTTCTCTCTTCTTTTTCATTTCTTTGTGGGGGTGGGCAAACCCAGAGATGTTCAGGACTTACTCCTGGGTCTGTGCTCAGTCATTCCTGGAGGGGGCTGTACAGGGTGTTGGAAATCAAACCTAGGTTGGCTGTGTGCAAGGCAAGGGCTTTAACTGCTGTGCCCCTATTTTTGGGGAGTTGCTCAGGGGACTATGTGGGATGCCAGGGATTCAACACGAGTCGGCTGTGTGTAAGGTAAGAGCGCTACCCACTGTCTTATCACTCCGGCCCTGTTTCTCGTCTAATTGTTTCTGTCTATAAGATAGGTCCTCTAGGTTCCCGTAGCTCACTGTGAGATTACTGGCATGTGTGAGATAAATGTTACCCACTTTCAATGGAAGCAGTCACTGCCATCATTCCATTCGCCACCTCACCTCTGATCCAGTCAAGAGACAGAAAAAAAACGTTCTGACTAAAAATATTTTGGCCTCTCCGACATTCTTCGAGGGAGAACCCATCAGAATTTAATGAAGGGCCAGAAAGACAGTAGCAGGGGTTAAGGCGCTTGTTTACATGAGGACAAGCCCAGTTCAATACCCAGCACTATTTATAGTTCCCTGAGCACTGCCAGGACTAGCTCCTGAGCACCGCAGGGAGTGGCCCAACCCACGCCACCACCCAAAAAATTCTACCTGCTGAAACTCCGTGAGAACAGGACTCTCCCGTGCTTCTCCTGGCAAACAAAGCACTAAGAGGAGATCTGTTCGGGTGCGGATGAGGTAGGGCTAAAGGAATGCACGGACGGAGTTCTGTGGGCATGACGACAAAGACAGCCCCATCACTTCTCCAATGTCACTAGTCACCAAGGAGAGGACTCTGAGGTTCCAGAGGACAGGGTCAGCTGCCCATCGTGTCTGACAGACTGGGAAGCTTTGTCACACAGTATCATTCATCTTCTTGGCTGAATGAACAAAGGAGATCTGGACTGTAATCCCGACTCTGCTGTCAGGATTCAGCCATGCTCTCCAGACCTTGGACTGTTCATGTACTGAAGCGGAGACCGGCCAGCTAGTAAGTAAGGACGCTCCGCTTTCTCCTCGCTCCGAACTCATCCTCAGAGTCCGAGTAGAAGCTCATTACCAAGCAGTCAATAAATGTCAATGAAGACCGTCCCCACTGGAGATGAGGAAATCAGAACTCAGAAATAACTGGCTCAAGGTCACAGGCCCCAGTAAGGCATGAACTCTGACCCAGATCTTTCTGTTCATAGCACATGCTTTCCAAGATCTTTCTTAGCTCAAAAATGCTAATATTAGTCATCCCTCCCTAGCTGAATAAGTCTGGGATCGAATAATCTGGAGCCAGAGCAATAGTACAGTGGGGAGGGTGCTTGTCTTGCACATGGCCAACCAGGGTTCGATCCCCTGCATCCTATATGGTCCCCGTGCACTGTCAGGAGTTGTTTCTGAGTGCAAAGCCAGGAGTAACCACTGAGCTCTATTGGGGTTACCTGCATCAAAAAGCAAAAAAATCTAATAATATTGTCTGACTTTCCTCTACCATGAGACAGCAAGGTCAAGAAGAAACAACCCTTGGGGCCGCAGCGATAGCACAGCGGGTAGGGTGTTTGCCTTGCACGCAGCCGACCCGGGTTCAATCCCCGGCATCCCATATGGTCCCCCAAGCACTGCCAGGAGTAATTCCTGAGTGCAAAGCCAGGAGTAACCCCTGAGCATTGCTGGGTGAGACCCAAAAAGAAAAAAAAAAAAGAAACAACCCTTTCCACATACTAACCTACCAAATCAAATGACTCAAAGGCATCATTAGGACTAATTTCATGCCTCTGCACACCACCTTTTTTGGAGGGTGAAGGGGTTACAACAGGTAGTGCTCAGGGCTTACCCCTGGCTGTGTGCTCAAGGACACTCCTGGTGGGGACAAGGAACCATTTGGGGTGCTGGGGATTGAACCCAGGTTGGCCATATACAAGAAAAGCACCTTACCTGCTATACTATCGAACTGTCTTGCAAACCAGAATATTTCAAAATCATAATTTCACTGTAAGGTGTATGACTTAAATTTAGGCAATGTGGTTCTCTTAAAAAAAAAAAAAACTTAAGCTAGCTTTTTTTTTAAGCTAGCACATAAATTTTGAAAATTCATAACCCAAGTTGCATCCCTTGATTGAATCAAGGTTCAAAAAGTCAAGAGAAAAGGGTTAGAGAATGTCTATGAATGCTGGTCTGCATTTTTAATAACAAAACACACACCTGACAGGGGCTAGATAGTAAGCAGAGTGGGTAGGGCACTTGCCTTGCACGCAGTTGACCTCCAAGAATGGATGCCCTGATGGGTCCCCTGACAGGGACCTCTAAGTGGAGAGCCAGGAATAAGCACAAACAGGTGTGCTGCCCCCCCCCCATAAAATTTTTTAATAACAAAAGGGAATGCCCTGCCACAAAGGTGGGGTGGGAGGGCTACTGGGATCCTTGGTGGTGGAGAATGGGCACTGGTGAAGGGATGGGTACTCGATCATTGTATAACTGAAATCCAAGCACGAAAGTCTGTAAGTCTACAACTGTACCTCATGGTGTTTCACTCATTAAAAAAAAAATTAATAACAAAATACACACTTGACATTGAGCCTTTGCGAAGAACACACCTGCCTAGGGTTATCAAGTGAGCCGTGGGGAGGGGGGTGAAGGAGGGGGGGGGGAATCACTTGGCAGTCAGAGTCAATTTTCTAGATGATTCATGAACAGGAGAGTCAAGGTCAAAGAGTCGAGCCGCTGCCCTCCCACCCCGCAACTGTCCCGGCACTCCACGTGCGACTCGCACAGACACAAGCGTCAGCTCCCACGGCCCCGATCAGAGTTCAGGGAGGGCGGGATGACAGCGACACGCTCAGCCGGGCGCGGGGCAGACGCTCCGTCGCAGAGAGCGAGAACTTTCACCCACTTTCGGGCCAGCCCCCCTCGAGGGCCTGCGGGCGAGAACCAGGACCCCCGCGGGGCGATTCCACGCACCCCGCGAGGAGATGACCGGGAACCGGGGCGAGCCGGGGCGCGCTCGCCATCCGGGCGAGAGGAGGCCACTGGGTACCGTTATCCCTTGCTCTGCGGGGGCCCCCCCTCGGACCCTCGGCGGCCGACACGTCCCCGCAGGGCGCCCCGGGGCCCAGAACGGGGGACGGGCCGGCGGCCGGGGCTGCAGCTGTCCGGCGGGCCGCGGGTGCTGAGAGATCAGCGCGGCCTTCGGGCCCGGGGCCTAACGGCGCCACGCCGGCCGCGCCCCCCAGTCACCTTGTCTTCACCTTGAGGCTGAGAACCCCGGCGGGAGCGGCGACCGACCCTCCAGAAGCGGAGAGGAGGCGCCTCCCCTCGCCCCCGGGCCGCTGCTTGTACGGACCCTCGCGGCCCGCGGGGCGGGGACGCGGCCGCGGGGCGGACAGAGACGGGGACGCCTTGACCTCGGGCCCCGCAGGCGCGGGCACGGGCTCTGGGCCGGGGCCGGGCGGCGAAACCTTGGCCGCAGGTCGGATCCGCCTCACCTGGTCTCGCCTCGCCCACAGCCGCAGGCACAGGAGGAGGCACCCCGCCCCCGTGAACCCAGAGGGCCCTGAGTCCGCTCACCTGCAACCGGGTCACCAGCAGGCTGTAAGGCGCCATTTTGTGCACTGACAAAGATTAGGTCGCGTGAAAGTGACGTGCCACACGGCGCCTTTAAAGCCTCCAGCCGCGGGGGCGGGGCCCGGAGTGCGGCGTGTCACGGCGGAGGGGGCGGAGCCTCCGCCGGCGCCAGGGCCCTGGGCGCTGTGGGCGGAGCTCCCGCCCGCCGGGTACCGGGGCGAGAGCCGAGGGCGGCCCAAAAAAACCCCTTGCGGGAGTAAACACCGAGCGTGGAGCTCTCTGGAAATGGACTTTTCAGTTGTTTCTTCCACCAGGACCTGGAAAAGACGCGTGTGTGTACATGTGTGTTTTCTTCATTTCCTGCACCTGCCAGGACCTAGCTCCCCTAGGAACTCGCAAAAATTTGTCTTGGGAACCGCAGGATTTCCCTCTCGCGAGAGCGAACGGGATTGAGTGCGAGAGTGGAGACATTGATGGAAACCCAGAGGGCCAATCACGGGGGCAAGGGGGCAGGAACGATGGGGGTTAAAGGTCGGACGGAAGTTCCCGGAGCTTCCGCTGGCCTGCGCGAGCGGGAGTTATGGCTAAACATCATCCGGACTTGATCTTCTGCCGCAAGCAGGCCGGTGTCGGTGAGACTGTTTCCTGTCCTCGGGCTGTTTGGGTGGAGGTGGACCTAGAGGCTGGGGGTGGGAGGGGGTCGAGGAGCCGCCTCGTTCCCCGACAGCCCTTCCTTCGGGTGTTGCCATGGACGTGCCCTGTTTCCCGCCTCGTGGGGCGGGTTGCGGCGCGCGGGTTTGTAGCTTGAGAAGAGGGCGGGGCTCGGAGGCGGGCAGCCGGCTCAGGTCTGGGGACTCTCTGGGTTGGGGAGGGCTTCTAGAATGCACGAGAAAGCTGGGCGCTGGAAGGCTTGCTCGCCTCGCACGCAGCCCGCCGGGCTTCTGTCCCTGCTGACATCGCATGCAGTCCCAGGATCCCCGCCGGGAGTGAGTGCTCAGCACGGCCAGGCGGTGCGCCCTGAGCACCATCGAGTGTGTTCCCAAATCAGAAGGCACGCGCGGGTTTGCTTGGGAACGTGGTTTCCTCCTGAGACTCCCCAGGGCTCGGGGCCTCGTCTTGCTCCGGTCCCCCACCCCAAGCTCAGGAAGCAATTCAGTCGAAACCTTAGTACTAATGATTCTCTACCATTTCGAATCTTGCAGCCATCGGAAGACTGTGTGAAAAATGTGAGTGGAGCAAACCCTCCCCTATACGCCGCTCGTGCAAGTGGAGCCAGCGGAAAGGCATTGAGTAGATGGGCCAGGAGGCATGTGGATACAGTGCCAAGCACCCCCTCGCCATGAGCGCCCCTCACCACCCCCATTCCAGTTTGCAATTGCTTTTCTGTTTTACAGCACTACTTAAGAGTGGGTTTTCGGGGTCCGGCGTGGGAGATCTAGCCCCGGGCCTGGCATGTGCGAGGCATGTTCTCCAATCCTTGGGCACATCTTTGGCTCCTTCCACACACGCGTGAGGCAGCGTGTTTAAATTTAGGGGAAATATTTAGCTTTGGTCCGGAAGTAGCTTGACGCTTCCCAGTGTTTCCACAGTAATTATGCACATGGGTCAGTAGCCAGGAGCCGATCAAAGCCCTTTTCCGGTTAGTTGATCCCATGTTATTTGGGGAGTGAAGTGGACATTGGATGAGTCGAGTTTGGTGATACCAAAGTAGATGGCCCAGAAGTCTAGTGGGAGTGCCAGAGAGAGTCCACAGGGTAAGTCGATTGCCTCCTATTGGCTCATGCAGGATTGATGTCCAGCACTTCATGATCCCCTAAGCAAAATAAAGAACTAAATGCATGGGAATAGCCTGTGGGGTGTGGTCCATGGCCCCTCCCCTAATCCCCCCAAATGACTAGTGAGCAGGATGTGGCTAGGTGGCAGAGCACATGCCTTCCCTGTGTGCAGGCCTGGGCACCATCTGTGGCATGCCAGAGGAGACTAGTGTAGTTCCCCCGGCATGAGCAACACTGAGGAGGTGTTTACACCTCATCATCATTTTCATTCTTTCTCGCAGGTGATGGCAAGTGTGTGATCTGTGACTCCTACGTGCGTCCCTGCACCTTGGTGCGCATCTGCGATGAGTGTAACTACGGCTCTTACCAAGGGCGCTGTGTCATCTGCGGGGGCCCTGGCGTCTCGGATGCCTACTACTGTAAGGAGTGCACCATCCAGGAGAAGGATGTGAGTGTCAACTGAGATTCCCAGCCCATCTTGTGCACTGGGAGCTGTTCACTTGGTAGTGCTCAGTGCCAGAGGGACCATGTGTGGTGCCGGGGACGGGATTAGTGCCGGCCATGTGCAGGGCAAGCGCCTTAACCTGTACTATGTCTCCGAGCCCTCCTCCTTTTAGTTTGTAAAATTTTGTCCTCTGCGGTACTACATTTAGTTCAGTCTCCAGGTTATCCTTTCTTCACATTCTGTGAGTGCATTTTTGCTCAAGGGCAGAAATGCAAGAGCAGTAAGTTGGGGCGCCCTCTCTGTTCCTGTTCCTTTGGTGTCCCTTTTTTTTTTAACAGCTGAATAGTATTCCATTGTGTGTATCTGTCTGCCTTTTTTTTTTTTTTTTTTTTTTTTTGCTTTTTGGTTATACCCGGCGATGCTCAGGGGTTACTCCTGGCTCTGCACTCAGGAATTACTCCTGGCAGTGCTCTGGGGACCATATGGGATGCTGAGAATCAAACCTGGGTCGGCTGTGTGCAAGGCAAACACCCTACCCGTTGTGCTATCGCTCCAGCCCCTGGCGTCCCAATTTTTATTTAGAACCAACATCCTGCACTTGATGTGCATGCTTTATTGTGGCTACCCAGAACTTCTCTCTTCATTTGGTTCGGGTTGGTAAGACTTGAATTTAAAGTTGCCCAAAAATGCCTTTGGTGTGTTTGCTATTTATGGCAACGAATTGTGTAGCGTTTGTTGTGGTTGTATTTCACGCTACTGCACCCGGACACGGTGTGCTGGCTGTGGTTAGTTTGCACAGGTTGAGCCATATGTCGGCACAGGGGCCTTGCAGATATGCAAAAGGAAGGTTTGCCTGTTGTTCTTTATAGTAAGGGCAGAGGGTGGGTTGGCTCACACCCAGCAGTGTTCAGGGCTTACTCCTGGTTCTGTACTCACGGAACACTCCTATCAGGGCTCAGGAAACCTCAGACGGGTGCTGGGGATCGAACCCAGGTCAACTGCATGAAAGCAAAGTGCCCTGCCTGCTGCACTGTCTCTCGCCATCGACTAACTTTCTTCTTAGGACGCCATCAAAGGAAACATGGCCCGCGGTCTCCAGGCTAATGTAGGACTCTGCTTACCTAATCTGAGGCATAGCAAAGGGGACATAATCCTGAGTGTTCCCGTGAGCAGCCACCTGGAGAGGTTACCAGTCGCCTTTGTGTTTAACTTTGTTAAGTGGAGTGTTAATTTCTGCATTCCCCAGTATCACCCGGCTTCTAAAGCTTTCGTGGTTTCTCTGCTATGCTGTTTGTGTCCTTGTTCTGTGTTCTGACTTGAGCCCAGGTGTCATGCATGTGCCTGACCACTGAGGGTCCCCGCCCACCCCCAGTGTCCTGTGTTGGTTGTTTGGGGGCCACACCAGCTGTGTTGAGCACTTGCTCCTGGCCATGTGCTCAGGGATCATTCTTGGGGTTTGGAATCGAGGAGAGCAGGGGATCCCTCCTGAGCACATAAGGAAGCTGGACTGTCTCTGTGGCCCCTCCTGTTGTCCTTTCCTAAGTCCCATTGATGGGGTGTGGCTGTGTTGTGTAGAAACTACGACCACCTCAGGCGTCTGCCATTGGGAGTCTGTCTTCCTGCCCTAAGTGGAACGTGTCAGGCCTGAGAAGACCTTTCTCAGAGGCTGCTCTCGAGGGAGATGAGGTCATGGCTAGCAAAAACAGTTGCCATTGATTCGAATGATTTGAACGTTCTCCTTCCCTAAACTCCGATTTACGTTGACCATCATGCCCCGCTTGATAGGAGTCTTTCCAGGGGGCCTTGGGGAGTGGAGCAGTAGTACAGCAAGTAAGCACTTGCCTTGTGTGCAGCCAGCCCGGGTTTGATCCCCAGCATCACATGTGATCACGGATCCCAGCCAGGAGTGATCCCTGAACACTACCGGGTGTCCAAAAAAAAAAAAAAAGACCTTGATTTGTGTATTTCTTCTGTTTCCCAGTTCCTGGTTTCTTGGTATGGTGCCTGATCTGTGGTGAAAGCGTGTCCCACGTGTTCAGTGCTCTGTGTCATCAGTATGTTTCCATCCTTGGGTCTGGTACTGGGTGGGTTTTAGTAACTAAGGTAACATAGAAGCAGTGAAACTAAAAAGTTTCCAGCAGTGAAGAGAAAGTGTTCAGTTCTTTTTTAAATATTTTATCAGATTCCTCTTTTATTTGTTTTGTTTTGAGGCCACACTCTGGCAGTGATACTTCTGGCGGTGATCAGGGGAACATGGGATGCTGGGGATCGAACCTGGGTTGGCCTCGTGCAAGGAAAGTGCCCTACCTGCTGTACTGTTGCTCCGGCACCTTCAGTTCTTTTTTCAGTTTTGTTTTTTGGGGGGGTCACACCCAGCAGTACTCAGGGATTACTCCTCGCTCTGCGCTCAAGAATTACTTCTGGCAGGCTCTGAGGACTCCATGGGGTGATGGGGATCAGACCCGGAGCTGTGATAAGCAAGACAAGTGCCCTGCCCATCGTACTATCTGTCCAGCACCAAGAACATTTTCTTAAACGTTTGCTGCTTATAGGCTGAGTTCTTATCTGGCGTCAGCTTGGGATCAGAGGCTGCTTAATGTTAATGACTGTGTGACGGGGCTCCTGTGCCCTGTGATCTGATAACCTTGGGAGCCTTGGACCTTATTCTGTCTCTTTAGAGCTGATCTAGATGTCATTTCCTCCACATCACTTTCCGTAGGATATTTGAGATGACAGCTAGTCTCACGTTTACCCAGCAAGAGTTTCCAAGGAACACAAAGACTCCAGAGACATGATCCAGCCTGGGCTCTCTTGATCCCTGCACCAAGGCTCCGGCTCTTCCCGCTCTCAACTTTCATGATTTACGAGGGATCCGGCGCAGTAAGCGAAGCGGATGTTCCCGCTTAGAGTCTTTCAAAGCCTCTAGGCAAATCAGAAGTTGAATAATAACTGGGCATTGCCCTCAGAGGACTGGTTGGTAGTTTCGAGTCCTACGGACTACCCTTAACCTTTTGTGTCCCTTTACTGCTTCCATTGAACGTTTTCCTTAAGTTTCCCAACCGAAAACAGTAACAGCAACAGAAAGAGCTCGGCCTAGGTGCAGACTAAGATGCAGGAGACCAGGGCTCAGCTCGCACCACATGGCCCCCATAGTAACTTCCGGAGCCTCACAAATAACAAGAAAAACAACCAGCGTTTTTTTTGCTTTGGATTGTTTAGGGGGTGGGGGGACACCTGGTGGTGCTCAGGGATCACTCCTGGTAGGGCTCAGGGACCATATGGGGTGCTGGGGATGCAACTGGGGTCGGCCCTGCGCCATTCCCCAAACAGCTAGCAGTTATGGGACATTTGCTCTGTCTCTGTGATGTGGAAGACATTGGATCTGGGAAGAAGCTCGGCCCTCGGTGACATGATAGTTAAGTCACAGGTCAGTGACTGAAATGTCCTGTGTCATGTTTTTCAATGTTCCTGCATTATTGCCCACCACCCCCAGGCTCTCCCCAAGGAGAAAATTCAGAGAATCCTCCGGAATCGGGTGCTGGTGGACTGGCCCAGCGAAGGTGTTCCGCCCCTTTGAGGATGTGTGGTTTAACTCAAATCTCTCATTCTGTAGGACGGCCAGGCCAGGCCTCACCATCTCATGCTATTTTTGTCATTCTCTTAAGCACGCATAAGCAATTAGTAGAAGCAAAAGAGTACCTTGGGTACTCTGCAAGGTTCCTTTAGGAAGTTAGCTTTCCCTTAAACTCAACTCATCATGGGAAAGTTTGGGTTCTGGGAAGCTACATTAGGGGCCCATAGCCAAGTCTTTTGTTTTGTGGGATTTAGGGGGAAGGAGTTACCCCTTGGCTCTGCACTTAAGAATCACTACTGGTGGCTTTTGGGGGAGACCGTATAGGGGGGCATTTGGGATTTCAGACATCAAACTTGGGTTGGCAGCTTGCACAGCAAGTGCCTTACCCCCCAGTACTATCTCTCTGGACCCCCATGGCCAAGTCTTGTTGACTTTGCTGCTGGCCAACTGTATGTGACCAGTAGTTATCCCTGCTTTTGAGATGTGCCTTTTATTTTTGGGGGGCGGACGGGGGGGATGGTTCTGGGGCTGCTCCTGGCAGCACTGCAGGTAGGTACTTGGCTCGCATGCTGCCAACCTTGATTTGATCCCCGGGATGCCATATGGTCCTCCTGCCTGCCAGGAGTGATCACTACGCATACCAAAGCGACCTGTGTTCCCCCCCCCCCCCAAAAAAAAAAAAGGTTCCAGGTGCTGTTACTAAGACAGGTCACCTGTTCACTTCTCTCACCGGTTGTAAGAACAGGAGGTCCAGGACTGTTTTTAGTCCTGGTGGTTTTCTGCTCTCAAGTTTTCAGTTGCCTTTCGCTGCATTTCAGGTTGACACACATTCCCTTTGGTATGCTGTGCTCTGGTGTTGGGTTTTTGGGTCTTTAAGGTGTTGTTTGAAAGTTATCTCTGGTTCAAGATCTGGTTTTTTTTTTTTTTTTTTTTGCCCTGGAAATGAAACAAAGTCCTCAGGAGACAGATGCAAAAGCCTCATGCTCCTGGCCCTGTTTAGGAGTCTGGAAACAAGCAGTTGTTAACTTCTGTTAACAGGGAGCTCTTAGAAATGAAGTGGCCGTGGGCCGTGGGCCCTGAGCATTCACTGGCACGCGCTGCCTGAGCCCTCACTGGGCCCCAGGACAGAAAGATGTTCTTGGAGCTGCCGCCTTGGCAGACCTTTGCGGGGATGTTTCAGTAGCTTCTGCGGGCCCAGCACAGCAGTGCTGCTGGTTGCCCTGCGTGTAGCAGACCTTGTTCAGACCCTGGGACCCCAATTGGTCCTCCATGCTCCCAGGAATGAGCCCTCGGGCACAGCTGGATGTGTTCCAAGAAACAAAACAATACCCTCCAGCTCCCCAGTGCTGCCCCCGCATCCTCTGAGTACCCCCAGTCCCCCGTCTTCCTGATCTGCCCCTCACAACCCTGCAGCTCTGGTCAAGGCCAGGAGCCCTGGGAGTGAGGACAGGGAACTGAGCAAGAGGGTAGGGGGTGCTCTGGGTTCCCACCCTTAAAAAATAAAATCGATGGAATCCTAGATTCTAAAATTACAGGGGATCCCTCCCCCCACCCCCAGATACTCAGAGGAAGTGTTCCAGGAGCCCCAGTGGATTCCTGGAGCCGCAGATCGTATCAGCCCCTGTGTATGCAGGTTTCTCCTGTACATGCATGTCTGTGATCAAGGTTCCTTGTTCCTTTAGTTGGCAACAGACTACCAAGAATAACTAGACGAACAGAACAATTACAGCTCTATACTGTTACTGTAGTTTACGGAGGAAGTTTGCAAAAGTAATATTCATGGGTGTTGGGTTTTTTGTTTGTTTTTTTGTTTTTGTTTTTGCTTTTTATTTGTTTGGGGCCACACTGGCTGTGCTCGAGGCCCATTCCTGGCTCTGCGATCAGGGATCACCTCTGGCGGGCTCAGGAGACCCTATAGGGTGCCAGGAATCGAACCCGGGTCTACCGTGTGCAAGGCCAGCCCCTGCTGTTCATTGTGTGTGTGGCCCACCGTGCTTTAGCCCCCTGTCGCCGTCCCTGTTCGCTGGGGCAAGGGCTGCGCATAGTGAGGTGTTCTGATACCTTTCGAATGAATGTTTTTGTGTTCTTGGGCTCGCTGGGTAGGAAGCTCTGTTCTCTCTGTTGGGGGCAGGGGGCGCTGTCCAGCGGCTGTTCATGGTACTGCCCAGCAGTGACCTCCAAGCAGTGCTAGGGGCACCTCAGGCGGCCTGGCTGGGGATTCGAACCAGCATCGCCCACACACAGGGCCAGCACCTGAGCCCCTGGACTGACTCCGGCTCCCGGAAGCGCCCTCTTTACTTGAGAAAGCCCCACTGTTTCCGGTGGGCTCTTCGGGGCTGCAGCCGACCCCAGCAGGAGGCCAGCGGTCAGGGAGGCTGCGTGTGCCGTGGCAACAGAGGCTGGTGTGGAATTGCTGACATCGTTGGGGGCGACTGTTCGGGGTTAGGGACCACGCATGCCGCTCGATGGTGTTCAGGGGTTGTTCTCAGCCGGGCCGAGGACCTTTTTCCAGGGATGGAACTTGACGTGCGGGCAGAGCTTGTGCTCCAGCCCATTGCTCTCTCAGGCCCAGCCCCAAGCTTGTGTATTTACTGTTGACTCTGAGAAGGTTCGAACATTGTCATGGTTTGACATTAGAACGTTAGAAAGGCCTTGCAGACAGTCAACCCCAGTCCGAATCCCTGGCACTTCCTGTTGCCCCCAACACCACCAGGAGTGATCCCTGAGCATTGCTGGGTGTTCCTCCCCCCTCAGAAAAAAGCGGGGGAGTGGAGAGAGTACAGTGGGAAGGGTGTTTGCCTTGCCCGCGGCCGATCAGATTCAATCCCCAGCATCCCATTTGGTCCCCTGAATCCACCAGGAGGGATTCTTGAGTGCAGAGCCAGGAGTAACCCCTGGGCACTGCTGATGTGGCCCCAAACCAAAAATAAAGAGGTGTTAATAAGTTGTTATCGGGACTGGGCCCTGTCATGGTGCCCCTCCCTTCCCTCCCCAGGGCTCCATCTGAAACGCTGGCCTGATCCCACCCTCTGGTCTCCTGGTCGGGGCGTGGAAGTCCAGGAAGTGATGTGCTCGCAGCTCCTGACAGGCCTCCACAGACGGTCTCTGAATCGCTCGGGCCTGCGAGGCAGCTAGTTCCGCATTCGTTCCAGGACTTCAGTTGGGGTTATGACGCACCCTTGGAGAGCCCTGCGAGGCTGGGCCCCGAGCTTCCTAGCACACCCTGCTGCACAAAGCGCTCTCAAGACCAAGCGCGGGGCCTGTTTTCTAGAAGCTCACGGCATCAGTTTGGCTCAGTGCATTCATTTTCCAGTGGAGGGGTGAGGTAGCTGCGGGTACGCGCTGTCACCCCGCGGAGAGCACTGTGGGGGGAGTCGCCAGAGATGCACCGAGCAGGTGGTGTGGGGCCGTCCTCACCCAGCCCTGTCAAGGTTCTATCCGGTAGCAGGAACTTCTGGAGAAAGTGTCCGTGGTCTTTCTGTCATTTCTGCAGAATGCTGCCCGCTGCAGGCTCTCCAGCTCATGGGCACCGGAACCGGAGTGGACATACACGGGCCCCACAGACGCTGGTGGATGGGGGCCGGAGCCGTAATGCAGCGGCTCGGGCGTTTGCCTGGCATGTGGTCCTGCGTGAGCCCACCAGGAGCAATCCTTGATCACCACCGGGTGTGGCCCCAGAACAAAACCTAGAGCGTGCCGCAAGGAGGTCCTGAGCGCAGTAGTCCAGGGGGAGGCGCTCACACGCTGCCCTGGGCTCCACACACATAGCCTGGTGTGGCTGCAAAACAAACCCAGAAAATAATTTTTTTAACATCAGGTCCAGGACTGGAGAAAGAATCAGTGCGGGGATTAAGGCGCTTGTCTTGCGTGTAGCAAGCCCGGATTCAGTCCCCGGCGCTGCACGTGGTCCCCTGCACGCTGCCAAGTGTGGCACTCCAGAACCAAAATAAGTCATTAGAGGTAACGTTTCTCTCCAGTCCCTCCTAATTCCGACTCAGAAAACTTTTTACAACAATTTCTCTGTCCTGTTTTCCAGAGAGACGGTTGTCCAAAGATTGTCAACTTGGGGAGTTCCAAGACGGATCTCTTCTATGAACGCAAAAAATACGGCTTCAAGAAGAGGTGATAGGTGGGCCCCGTCCTCCCCCCGCCCAGCTGGTGCAGCTGCCAGAACGACGCCCACCATTGCCAGCAGAGAGGGGGCGAGCCAGCGTGTCCCCCGAATCACCTGTCCTCACCCAGGCGCCTGGCCCCTCTGTCCTCACCCAGACCCGTGGATTGACACGCACAGGATTGTCCGCCCCACACTCGGCCATGATGAGTGCGGGGCTTTCTGGAAGGCGGGGGGCGGGGCGAGGCCTCCCTCGTCCATAGGATCGCTCTGGCACCACGAGCCCTTAAGACCAGCGCAGGCTCAGGGTTGATGCCTCCTGGTTGAGGGGGCGGCGGTGAGCCCCTCACCCCAACCCCCCAGCGAGGACGCACTCCCGAGTCTGCGCACCACGCTGAGCCGTCTGCTCAACTCTGAGCCGCTGCGAACCTTCTCGCTGTTGGATTAATAAAGTGGGTGTTTACTTTCTGGTCGTCATCACTGTTCTGATTGAGGTGTAGGAATTTATTTCAGCCAGCCAGGAATCTGTGATTCAAAGGAGGCGGAGGGATTCTTCAGGCACCTGTTCTCTTGGTACTACTGGAAGGAATTCAGAACTCCACATGCCTTTGATGGAGGTAAAGCGAGGTCATTTCTAGAAATATAACTATTTCTTCTCGTCTAATATTTTGTTATTGGGAGGGCGACCTTGGCACCGTGTCCAGCAGTGCTCAGGGGTTCTTTCTGATCCTGTGCCCAGCGGTGACCCTGACAGTGCTCAGCTGACCGTATGCGGTGCCAGGAATTGAGCCAGGGTTGTTGCCAATGCGGCCACATGCAAGGCTGGTGCCTGGCCTTAGGGACTGTCTCCGGCCCCAATCTCAGTTTGGAATAGGAGAGTTAAAAGTAATAAGACAAGATACTCAAATCGGTTAATGAGAAGGACTGAACTTGTTTGTTTCATAAAAACGAACTATGGAGTGGGCTGGATTTGTCTTTGCTTTTTTACATATATAGTTAATATATTACCTTATATAATATCTATTATTACTTTGTATACGAATACGTCACGGGGAGCTTGCCAGGCTCTGCCGTGTGGGCGAGATACTCTTGGTAGCTTGCGGGGCTCTCCGAGAGGGGCGGAGGAATCAAACTCGGGTCGGCCACGTTGGCTGCGTGCAAGGCAAATGCCCTACCGCTGTGCTATCGCTCCAGGCTCCAGGCTCCAGGAGACATCTTATTATGACATCTTATTATCTCACTCCTACTTTGGACAAACTGGCAGGCTACCAAATGTAGCCTGCCCACACGGCAGAGTCTGGCAAACTCCCCGTGGCGTACCCAATATGCCAAATACCAGTAACGATGGGTCTCATTGTCCTAAAGAGCCTTGAATATAATCTCAGGGCTAGGATGAAGGAGACGTTACTGGGGCCTGCTCGAGGCAATCGACGAATAACAGGATGATTTGTGATTTGTGGAGGGGGCCAGAGCGTTAGTACAGCGGGGAGGGCATCTGCAGGGCGTTTGCCTTGAGCACGGCCCACCCGGCATTTCATATGGTCCCTAAGCACTGCCAGGAGGAGTTCAGAGCACAGCGGTGTCCCCTCCCCACCCCCATTAAAAATAAGTAATCCTCTAGTAAGGATGTTTTAAGAAACATCCCATTTGAAGAAAACGAACAGATGAAGGCCAAGCCCACCAGACTCACCAAACTCCCTTTCTGCCCACTCCAGAGTGGTGTCACTGGGAGGAACACTCGCCATCTGCGATGACCCTCACTGAGGCTGCAGACACCCTGACCTGGAAAGGTTACGAGCTCGGTAGAGCTCAGAGGTCCAACATGAGGTTCCAGTGTGACTCGGTACTGGAGCCAGGGAGGGATGAGTCTCTGGGCTTCCGGTCTGGGCCAGCAAAAGGAGGCGTCTGCGCTGGGCTGAGATAGAATCTGCCTTCCAGGAACCGAGTGAGGCCTCACTGAGCAGTTCCGGATAAGCCTCCCCAGCACAGAGGGGAACTTGGCCTAGTTGGAGCAGGAGAAGATGACCCTGGGGGCTTCCCCGTCCCTCGGCCCCTGCTCTAGCGCCCGGGGCTCCTCTTCCGCCTGCCGGGTCAGCCCCAGCCTTTAATCCTGCTCCCCGCTCCTGCTCTGCTGAGCTCCTCAGTCAGTCTCCAGACCCCCCACTGGGAGCTAGCTCCCCTTGTTCAGGGCCCGCTCCGCCCCCACATGCCTTGAAGCATTTTCTTGACATTTGGTGGTGACTGTCACCTGCTGAACTGTGGTCCCTGACGGTGGAGCAGTCAGTTCTGCCCTGCAGAGAGTATTCTGTATTGAAGGGATGGGGTGGTCCGAGAGAAGTGAGCGCAGCCAGCCCAGGTTCCTTCCTTGGCACCACATCTGGCCCCCCAAGCCCCACGAGCAGTGAGCCTTAAACACCACAAAGTGTGGCCCCAAAGTGAATAAAGGCAAGAGAAGCAGATAATAGAATTTTTTTTTTTTAATAATAGGGATTTAAAGGCTACATAGGACCGAGAGGGGCTGGTCGGGGAAACGACACTTGTGGAGAAACGGTTTGAACAGGGCAATGTATCCAAGGAGCTGTAAGAACTTGTAAGGGGGTCTGGTACAGAGGTTGTACCGAGACGGTATTATTTCTGGATTATAATCGAATATGTGATGAATTCCACAGTAACAGGTTTCCCTTTTTCAGCAGAGTCAGATCCAGCAGTGCTGGGATGAAACTTGGGGCGTGTGCTGCCCACTTCCTAGTCACAGTTCTATGAGGGCAGCAGTTTAATAGGTTTATTTGGGGAGGGAGGGGAATTGCAGGAAGACTTTTTCTCTCTTCCCCTTTGGTTTTGTTTGGCAGCCCCTCCCAACTCAGCACACGGGAGTCACTTCTGGTGGGATTGCAGGGACCAAGCTGGGGGCTCCCGGGGAAGCATATGTATGTTCCAGCCCCTCCCCAAATTCATTTTTATTAATTATTAGCTACTCAGTCCACATAACATTTTCTTCTACGATTGCTCTTAAAGGTTACTCCTTAGTCTCAGCAAAATGCCACCTCCGTCTCAGCTCCAGGCCTCTGAAATGTCAAGTGAGGGAATTTAAGATTAATCCCAGGAGGCTGTTCAAGGGTGAGCCCCCACCCCCCACCACAGTGACCAGCAGCCAGACAAGGCCAGCCTCAGCCCAGTGACTTCCACTGAACTCTCCTCTGTCACCTAATTTCGTAATCTGCCCTGGTTTATTTGCCCCAGTCCAGAAGAATACAGTACAATGAGAGCATTAACATCACCTGAGGGACTGGAAGCTGATATAGGAGTGACAGGACTTGCCAGGCTCGCAGTGGACCCCTGAGCAAAACCCCAGCACCACCTCGGGCCCCCTGACTACCAGGTGTGGGACCCCACAAAAAAATAGTAATGAGAAGTCGAAGGGTTTTCTTCTTGTCAGGATTGAGGGCCAGAGGAAGTACAGCAGGTCGGGTGCTTGGCCTGGACAGCGAACCAATCCTTGGTACCACCAGGAGTACTCCCTGAGCACAGAGCTAGGAGTTAAGCCCTGTATGCTGCCGTGTATGACCCCAAAACAAGTTTGATCTTATAAATGTTTGGATTTTCTCAGGAAAATTTTCTCTGTAAATGGTGGCTTAAGAGCCCCCCCCCCACACACACACACACACACTTTATGGATAAATGCATAAACCATGGCACTGAGGGCTCACTAAACTGTCCCATCTCCCCTGCCTATTCCCCTCACACTTGGGTCTTTCTTTACTCCTGGGGCAGTTGAAGGCACATCCCTTGGATACTCCCTGCCTTCTTGGCTCTGTACCTTTCGTTTGAAATACCCCTCTCCCGGGGCTGGAGAGATAGCACAGCGGGCCAACCCAGGTTCGATTCTCAGCATCCCATATGGTCCCCTGAGCACTGCCAGGGGTAATTCCTGAGTGCAGAGCCAGGAGTAACTCCTGTGCATCGCCAGGTGTGACCCCCTCAAAAAAAAGACCCCTCTCCCTCCTGTCACCTGACCAACTGCTTGCTCCTGAGGGCCTGACCTCAGGATGCTTCTGGATGTCCCGAACTCAATGGTCTTGGGGCTGACAAGATACTCAAGTGGTGGAGTACACACTTGTCATGCGTAAGACCCTGAGTCCGATCCCCAGCACCATGTGGTCCCTAAAGTATTACCAGGGCTGCCCCTACTTTGGGGGGAAGGGGGAAAGGGCCTGATAAAATTAAGCAGTAGAAAAGTTTCTTTGCAGGAGAGAGGCTGTGGGTTTGAGCAGGGAAAAAAAACGAGTCTTGCTTTGTTGTGCCTAACGGAGCAGCGAAACAGACTTCATGAAATATTTATTTTGTATACTGCCCTCTAATTTTTATTTTATTTAATTCTAAAACATCTATGTAAAATCCGATACGTTTTAAAATAGTGGGCACAACGGTAGGGCGTTTGCCTTGCACACAGCCAACATGGCCGACCCGAGTTCGATTCCTCCGCCCCTCTCGGAGAACCCAGCAAGGTACCGAGGGTATCTCGCCCGCACGGCAGAGCCTGGCAAGCTCCCCGTGACGTATTCGATATGCCAAACACAGCAACAACAAAGTCTCCAATGGAGATGTTACTGGGCCCGCTCGAGCAAAATTGATGAACAACGGGAGGACAGTGACAGTGATAAGACCCCAAATTCTGCTTCTCCCTTTACTGCATGCACACAATAAGCAGCTGTAGTACCTTATTAGACTGAACTAGAAAGGGAGGGACAACTTGGGAATTTGGCTGAGTGATCGGATTGGGAGAAGGCCATGCTGGGACCACTCTCCACACACTTGGATGAGCCTCACGCATAAAAGAACTGGCAGAGGAACCCAGGTGTGTGGCACCCGGGGCTGAGATCTCCAAGCCTGCACGGTTTGGGACTGGACCTGCCAGTAACTAGACAGTTACACTCACCAACTGCCGTGTAACTCCAACAACGGCCAGGATCCAGAGATTATCACACTCAGCTCCCGGAAGCTTATCATCTTATCATCTCATTCCTACTTTGGACAAGCTGGCAGGCTACCAAATGTAACCTGCCCACACGGCAGAGTCTGGCAAACTCCCCGTGGTATACCCAATATGCCAAATACCAGTAACAATGATGGGTCTCATTCTCCTAACCCTGAAAAAGCCTTGAATATGGCACTTTAAAAAAAAAATCTCAGTGCTAGGACGAAGAAGACGTTACTGACACCTGCTCGAGGCAATCGACGAACAACAGGTTGGTCGTGATCGTGATCGTATTGGGAAGAGGTGTGTGTGTGCACAGCCCAAACGTGGTGATAAATGGTCTGTGACCTCCAATGTCCCGCTGGAAGTGCTGGGAAGGGAGGCGCTGGCAGCGGCCCTCTCAGGAGGATGGTCCTGACAACTGAACTGCTAGCTTGGAGTTAGCAAAGTCATAAATTCAGGACAAGTGGCAAATTGATGTATATGGGAACTGGAGAAATGGCTCAAAGGGCTAGATCACGTGCTGTCCATGTGGAAACTCGGAGTCCCAGCATCACGTGGGCTGCTCCCCCAGAACTGAGGGGTGCGACCCCTCAAATCAAGTTTTTGTGTAATGTCATTTTTGTGTGTGTTTGTTTGGGGGGCACACCCGGCCGTGCTCAGGCTGTACTGCACTCAGGAATCACTCCTGGCTGGTAGGCTCGGACCATATGGGATTGCTAGTGATCGAACCCAGGCCGGCCATGTGCACGGCATATACCCTACCTGCTGTTCTCTCTCTCCCTCTCTCTCTCTCTCTCTCTCTCTCTCCCCCCCCCCCCCATTTTTAAATGCTGTCAGCTCATTTTAGAATATTTGTGTCTCACTGTATGCCAAGCCAAGACATCCATGAAATGTGGCCCTTGGCCTGACAGAAGCTTCTAAGTGAAGAAAACTTCCCAGGGAGTGAAAGGGAACCAAATTTCAGGGAGACTGTATCTACCCGTCTCTTCTGACCTGTAGCTCGAATACAGCTGGAAGCCAGAACATAAATGGGAAAGAGTCGCTGGGGTTAGACTGTTCTGTGGATCATGAAACCGCTGACAGCTGTGACACTTAGGCCACAGTGAGAGCTTCCGAAGGAGCGAAGACCAAAAACCCAAACCCCGTCACGTCGAGGATCTGAGGACTTTCTGCCAGCACCTGCTACGGCTGTAGCATATTACTCTGTGGCGAAAAGGGATCAGGCGTGGAAAAAGCTGTTAAGGCTGAAATAGAAACTCCCGTGACTCAGTTCCCCAAGTGGCCCGTCTGCTGCCACCCAGGCTGCTACGGCGCCTTCTTCCAAAGCCGAGGTTGTTGGTGTCTCAACAATAGGCAGGTTTGCTCATTTGCCCTGTTGACTTCATTCATTCCCATCGAGGTGAGTAAACAGCAAGTCATTGGCTGCCAGGGCCCAACCCCCGGCCTTGACATCTCTCTGGCTCTGTTCCGGCCCAGCTGGAGCAGGGCAGCCCAGGGATCAAACTGAGGAACTATTTACCTGGATAGCTTTTTAAAAAGCAAAATTTTCTCATCCTGGCAAGTCTGTATGAGAGTTAATTCATCCCCTGGAGTTAATTGGGGTTAATTACGACCAGCCTGGCAGGTCAGGGCGGCCAAACATCTGGCCCGACTTGCTTACCCCAGACAGTCTCCTCGACTCCCTCCTCTGCAGCCTCTCCTGAAGCTCCAAACACCGTGTGTGCCTTTCAACATGTGATTATTCAAGGTGGGAGGAGACTGGGGATGCTTGAGCCCACATTCAGCTCACAATTAAGCCCTCTGCAAGATGAAATCACGGGTTGGGCAAGGGAAAAACATCCCTCTCATCACATGATAAATGAAGACGGCAATTAAGCAGGGTGATTACCCCCCCTCCCATTTTACCTTTTCCTATTTATATGCTCACCCTCTCCCTGAGCTCTCCCCTTTGCCAGGGAGGCTGAATTGCTCCAATTGCTCCATTTTGTTTGATGCAGGTGTGGTGCCAGCACAACGTGGGAGGAGAGGGAGGAGAGGGAGGAGTTTGGAGCGTAGCACCCTAGTGGCCCACCCTCAGCCTTCACGGAATTCAAGGATGAACCCCCCCCCCCCCCAGGACACAGCACCCTGAGTATTCATTTCAGCTCAGCCAGCTCAGCCATTAAGCTAGCTCAGGAAACTGGGGGGGGGGGGGGGGGGGGGGGAAGGGTAGAACCCCGGGCTTCATCTATTCAAAGTCTGCATCTACCACCAGTAATCCTATTTATTTATTTAGCTTTTTGGATCACACCTAGCCACGCACAGGGGTTCCTCCTGACTTTGCACTCAGGAATTACCCCTGGCGGTGCTCAGGGGACCATATGGGATGTCTGGGAATCGAACCCGGGTCTGCCGCGTGCAAGGCAAACGCCCTCCCCGCTGTGCTATTGCTCCAGCCCCTCCTGAGAGGTTTCTTCTCGGGGAAACGCATAAGGAACCCGGCCTGGGCTGTGTGGAATGCCACGGGGGCCCGAACGGGTCCCTTTAAGAACCGCTACTTTGTGAGCCGGGCCTTCGATACAGTATCACGTTTTAACCCCCAGGTTTGGTGAGAAAACGAGTCGAACCGATTTGCTAAGTCTGCGCAGGGCGGGGTAGGACTCCCACTCCCCTTATTTCCGTGGCCGGCTCGAATAAAAAGGACCACAAGTACCAGCATCCCTTGCACGGCCCAGCGACCCAGTGCGCAAACGCACCCCCCGCCCCACCCCCGCGGGGCCCCCACGGCTCGGCTCTTGGGCCCTCGGCCCCCGTCCTTAGGCCTTAGCGGTTGGCCCGAACAGCCAATCAGGCGTCGCCCGCTCCCCGCGCTCGGGCCAATGGCGAGGCTGTTGCTAAGAGGCCGGGTGTATTTTTAGCTCCTCGGTGGTTCCGAAACCCTTCGCGTAGGTCGGGGCTTGGGCGGCTGGAACGCGCCGGGCGGGAGCGCGCGAGCGGGCGGGCGGGAGCGGAGGGGAGGGGAGCGGAGGGGAGGGGAGGCAGGGGTACGGCCGAGGGGGCGTGCTGGTGACGCGGTGCCGCTCGCTGACGCACGAGGCAAGTAGTCCCTGGAGGAACCCCAGGAGTTGAAGCCGAAGCGGGGGCGGGGCGGGGGCGGGGTGGGTCGGGGCCCTCGGGGCTCCCTGGAGTTTGCCCTCCGAGGCGGCCGGACTCTCCGGGAGCCGAGGAATGCGCATTCGGGCCCCCCCGCCCCCGCTCGTTGCTCTTTGCCCTTGCCAAAAATAAATCAAATAAATAAATGAATAATAAACCGACCGGGGAGGCGCGGGCTGGGGGTGGGGGGTGCAAGCAAAGCGATCGTAGCTGGAAACTTTCGGATCTCGCCACCCCCCACGTGGGTTCGGAGGCTGCCGTTGGGCTGGAACCGTCTCGAATGAGCATAAAGGTCGAGGACGGGGAGGGGATTGGAAAAAAAAAAAAAAACAACGAACGACTCGAGGAGAGACGGGAGAAGACAAGGTGCCAGCTCCCGGGGCGCCCCGGGCATCGCCACCTGGCAGTCCCAGTCCGCCTGACCTCACCCGGGCACGGCCCTCCCCACCTGCCCTCCCCACCCCCCAACTCCGCGGCCGGCTCAGAGGCCGAGGGGTGGTGCGGGGTGGAGGGAGGCCTCGAGCGCTCGGGCCCGGCTCGCCCCGCCCCGGGTTCGGCGAGCCCGGCGCCTTCGGGCTCGGGCTCGGGCTGGGCGCCGCTACTAGGAGGAATACGGTTCTCCCCCGAGCGCCCGGCGGGGGTCGCCGTCCCGGGAGAAAGAAAGGCTCGGGGGCGTCTGCCGACAGGCCGCCGCGCCTGCGCGGGAGCCCACGCGGGCCCTTTCCCCGCCGCGAGGGAACGGGGCGCCGGCTGGTCCAGCTCCCGGGCCCGCGGGGCCCCGCTGTGCCCCTCGCGCTGGCGCCCGCGTCGCACGAGGCGCTCCGAGACCTCGGGCCGCCCCGAATCGATCAAAGTCCGAAGCGCTTCGCGTCGCTCCCCGGGTGGGGGGGGACCCCCTCTCGCCCCCAACTACCCGCGAAGTGAGCGAAACGGGGGCGCTCCGAGCCGTCTGCTGGGGGGAGGCCGGGGAGGGGGCCCGATGGGGCGAGCGTCCGAGCCGGGGGCGCTCCCCGCGACCTCCACGCACCCCCTCCCCCGTCTGCAGCGAGTTTCGGGGGCGCGGGCGCCTGGCGCTCCTCCCAGCGCGCTTTCCGGGAGGACCGCGGGGCAGGACCCGGGCAGGCCGGCGGGAGGACCCGGCCGGCTCGCGGAGCTCGCGCGGCGCGAGGGGTTAAGCGGCGGGCGGCGTGGAAGTAGTCCCGGCCCGGCCCCGCCCCGGCCCGCGGGGCGGAGGGACGCAGCGCGCAGGGGTGGGGAGGCGGGATCCGTGCGCAGGGTTGCTAAGGGTGAAACTTTTCATTGACTTTGCTCACTTCGGGCCGGGCTGCGGGACGGTGCGCGTCGTCGGGGCTAGAAGAGCAGCGCCGCCCGCCCGCCCGCCTGCCTGCCCGGGACACGAGCCGCCCTCCCCGCGGTAGCCCCCGCCGCCGCCGCCGCCAGCCCGAGCTCCGGAAAGCGGAGAATTCGAGGCAGCGCCCACCCGTTCCCCCCCGCTCGCCCCGCACCCAGCCCCTCCACGGAGGAAAGGACTTGCCCGAGCCCCGGAGCACTCCGGAGGGAGAAGCCGCCCCGCCGCCGCCGCCGACACCGAGTGAGTGGGGGGGCTCCGGGACCCGACAGCTCCGATGCCTGCCCCCCGCCCTCGCCCTTCACTTTGGCTGGACGCTCCACGTTGCCATCTACCCCCCCGCCACCCCATCCCGGCTCGGCAGCATTTTCCTCTCCCCTTCGACCTTCCTCCCTCCGGAGCTCCCGGTCTCCCCTCCCGTGCTCACAGTCAGCCTGGAGCACCCCATCATCTCTTCCCCAAGTGCGGTGCATTTCTTCCCTCCGCCGCCTCTCTCTCTCTCTCTCCCTCTCTCTTTTTCTCTGCTTCGTCTCCTAGAGACGCGATAGATTTTTTTCCTTCTCCCCCCCCGCATCACCTCCAAACACACACACAAACCCCCCCCCCAGAACTTGCACCCCGTTAAATAAATCAGAGGAAGGGGAAATCAAGGCCTTGTTTTGCTGCTGCTTGCTGCTTGCTGCTGCTTCTCCTCCTCCCGAGAGTGGGGTTAGGGGGTGGTGGTAATAATTAATCGGGTTGATTTCTGGCCCTGGGAGCCCGAGGCCGGGCGGGTGGACACCCCGCCTTTTGGACCGGCCCGGCGGGGCCAGCTGCCCTCCGGGCGCCGAGCAATTCGGAATTCAACCATTTTAGCTTGAGCGCTTTCAGGAGTAGCTGGGCGGGAAAGAGTGCCCCGAACCCCGCCTGCGGGCGAGGGCACCCCCTCTCCAGCCCCGCGCGCACACACGCACGCACGCCCAGCGCTGCTCGCCCTCGGGTCCGGAGGATGGACTGTGCCCTTGACCGGACAGGGAGGGGAAGGAGCGAGCCCGAGAGGAGGAGCGGCTGCCCCTGCGCCTCTCCTCCGCCCCCCCCCCCCAGCGGGCTTTGAACTCGAGAGGTGCGGGGAGGAGGGGGCTCCGTGCCTGCCCACCAGCCGACCGTCCTTTCCTCCTGCCTGGCGAACGGGGTCCCCGGGCCCGGGAGTCCCGCCCCGCCCCGCCCCGCCCCGCCCCGCCGACCATCCCGAGCGAGCGGCCGGCGGCGATGCCCAGGTGTCAGATGTTTGCGCCCGCCTGCCCTGCCCGCGCGCGTCCCCGTGCGGTCGCCGGCCGGCTCGGGTTACCCGGGGGCTGGGATCGGGCGCCCCGGGGTGAGGCTGGGGCTCTGCTGGCGGTCGGGCCTGCCTGGCGCAGGTGGGCCCGGGCGTCCCCGCAGCTTCCCGGGGTGGGTGGGCGGGCGGGCGGGTGGGTGTTTCTCTGCCCGGGGAACGGGGCTGATCGGGGGTGGGGGCTGCCGGAGCGGAGCCCACCGGGCTGCAAGTTGCGAAGGGCCCTTTTCTCTCTTCCTGGCAGCAGCCCGGCCCGGGCAGGGTGCGGACAGGGTGCGGGCAGGGCGGGGTGCGACCTTTCCCACCCCAGTCCGCATCCTTCGCCCCCGGAAAGAACTCCTGGACGCACGGCTCCCCTCATTCCACAGTTCTGGGAGCGGCGAAGGGAAGGGGCAGAAAAAGTTGAGGCTCGTTCACCAACCAGCCGGTAGGGTGGGCCTCCACGGAGAGTAAGGGCCTAGGCTGGCGGGGGTGGGGGGAGCCCGGCTATAAAATGGATTAGGCGGTGTGGGGGGGGGGGGGACCGCCCCAGCGCGCATGTGCATCGGAAACTTTTCCTCGCTGCTCCGGCCCGCGGCCCGGCTCGTTCCCGGGCATGCGCAGTCACCCCCAGCCGAGCCTTCGCAGTGCATGCAGGGAAGTGTAGTGCGCGAGGAAAGTGGGTCACTTGCCCCGGCCCCCGCCTGGGGCTTGGGAGGACTACAGTTCCCAGAGTGCCGTGCGCGGCGCGGCCCCACCTCCCCGCTTCCACCCACCTCCGTGGGGCTCGGTTGGAGTCCGCTTATCCTTGGGGCTTCGGCGGACCCCGTGACTCCCACAAGGAGCCCGGTCGCCAGCCCCTGTTTGCGGGAGAGAGTGGGAGACTTCGGGTGCGGAAGTGCACTGGGTGGGCAGAAGTCCTTGAAGTCTCCACCGCACTTACCCTTCCGGGCCGATGGGCGGGGTAGGGCTGGCCAGGGGACCCCAGGGACCCGCTCTCAGCCCTAGGGGGTGCAGCGCTGGCCTCGATAAAACTGAGGACCCCTCCTTTTCTGCCCGAATGTGGGGTGACCCGAGTGTCAACGCCGCAAAACGGTGTTGCGGCGGGTGCTGGATGTCTTCCTTAAAGCCCCCCTAAGCATTCTCTGTCCACAGATGCACGGAGTCTGCGTTACGTTGCCGGGTCCCGGGCTCCAAGCCGCCTTTCTTTTCCCCTTTTTTGTCATTCTGTTAAGCACTGACTCGTTGAGATACAAGCCCCTTCCTTGCAAGGGATCCGAATTCAGGGGTTAACTAGTAAGCAAGCGAAGGAGGATAAACTCTTAAGTGAAATCGGATAGAATTCAGATACATTACTTGCAACTTTTTGATTGATTGTCAGAAGGTAGATTTTGCTCTTGTTAGAACATGTTTTGTGTGTGTGTGTGTGTGTGTTTGTCACCTGACCCAGAGGTGGAGAAAGATGGCCCAGTCCTTTGCTAACTCAGACTCCACTGATTCCTTTTAGTGGAGGGCAGTTATTTTTAAGCATTCTCATCTTTGCCGCATTGTCTAGTTTACACAGAAGCTCTCGGCTCTGCCCAGAGCCTTAAAAGAATAAGCAAACGCACCCGAACGGTCACGCCTGCCTTTAGTTAAAGACTAGACTGTGCTTTAATCCTCCATTTCATAAGCTTCTTGAAGTCCAAATTAGAGCCTGAGCTGATAGAGCAGAAAATCTCATTCTGGTTGTCTGGCATTTTTGTGAGGTAACACCCCGCAGCCATCTGGCCTGGCCTGTTCTCCAATTAAAGAGGCAAAGGTGGCATTACCCACTTCCTTGTCCGAGGACAGCATCGCCGCCGTGCCAGTGGGTGTGCGGCTTTCGGTTGCGACGGCTGCGAGAAACGGCTGGCGGGGCCGGCTGGAGGGAAGCTTCTGTCCCGGGGCACGTTGAGGGCAGGCTGACCCGTGGGTGAGCAGGCGTGAGAAGACCTCGGAGCCCTTGGGCCTGTGCAGGAGTGCCCTTTGCCCGCCAACCCCGTGGGGTACCGTGAGTTGGAAGTAACTTGGAGATTAGTCTGTATTAGAACAGGAGGCACACGGGGCTATTCTTCTGTTTTTGTTTGGCTTTTCGGGCATGCTCCTGGCCCCGCACTCAGGAATTACTTTAGCCAGGCACAGGAGACCATATGGGATGCTGGGGATCAAACCTACGTTGGCCGCATGCAAGGCAAACACCCTCCCCACTGTACAGTCCCTCCTGAGGGCCCTCTCCTGAGTCTTGAGCATCCCCCTCGGGAGGGCATGGGAGACGCCATCCTTAGGCACTGTGTCAACTGTGCGGTCGGACCTCAAAGACTGCAGCCCACATGGGCACTGCACGTCAATCCGGCCCGAGCCCCGAGAAACGCCCCCTGAGGGTTACGGGCTGTGATGGGGCAGCTTTTCCCACCATTTGGCCCTCAAACCTAGAGCTCGCCTCTGACTGCTCTGGCGCCAAACCAAGCTGCTGCCGTGGACTCCCCCAGACGGGGGTCCTCGCTCGGCCTGGGCCGCTGTGGTCAGGCCCTGCTGCCCCTGCCAGCGTCCGCTCTCAGCTTCCCCCTTTGAGAGCCAGTGGGATGGTCAGGGTCACTGGCTCGCGCGGGGCTCACGGCTCATCTTCCTGAGACATGAGTCTGGCCCAGACCTCAGGAATAAACCTTTTTGACCTCTGTGGGCTCTGGCTGGGAGAGAATCCCAAAATAACAGTCTGCGTGTTGATCTTGGGCCGCCTCCTCCCCGGGGATCTGCAAACACTTGATAACTTGGGTCCAGCGCCAGGGGCAGGTGGTCAGACAGTCCCAGGGAGCCAGGGGGTGTTGGTTCCCCAGCTGGTGGGATGGAAAGGATGATGGAAAGAAAAGGCCTTCTCTGTGCCCCCTCACAGGGGTGTCGGCCTGCACCTGGCTGGGAGCCGTCTCCCTGCTGGACTCCTGCTCTTGTCTCCATTCTGGGAGCCTCTGGGTGGGACAGGCTCTCCTCGGGGACAGTCAGCTCTGCAAACCAGAGCCAGTGGGGGTGGGGGTGGGGGTGTGACAATTGGAGGTAACCAGAGTCCAAGCCCCCACTGCAGAGTTAGACTGGGCCACTTCCTGCTGAGTGACCTTTAACTCCCCATTGAAGGAGGAAAACTCAAGAGTTAAACCCATGTCTCAGCCGGGGCTTCGCCCAGGTCATCGCAGAGACGAGTTGGCGAGAGCTTTTCCCTGATACAGCGGAAGTAGGGCTTGTGGCCGGGGAGTCACTCATACGGTGACTTCTCAGCACGGTGGGGACCTGAGCGCCCCGATTTCTTTGGAATGACTTGACAGTAACCGCTGACCTTCTCGGGTGCCTGCTAGCAGCCGGATACGGTGGGAGGCAGCTGGCATCCTGGGACGCAGCGAGCTTCTCAACGGCTCCCTGAGAACCTCAAGCCCATGTGGGGACCTGGACTAGGCATCCACCTGGGCCTTCCTGTCTGTCTGGCCACTCATGCTGCCCTCTCTCGTTCCCCAGAGCCACCTGGAGCCCAAGGCTGTCCACTGCACACCCCCCGCCCCTGCCCTCGGCTCGAGCCCTGAGCTGACTCCGCGCGGGCCCGGACCATGCAGCTGGAGATCAAAGTCGCCCTCAACTTCATCATCTCCTACTTGTACAACAAGCTGCCCCGGCGCCGGGCAGACCTGTTTGGGGAAGAGCTGGAGCGCCTCCTGAAGAAGAAATACGAGGGCCACTGGTACCCCAACAGGCCGCTGAAGGGCTCCGGCTTCCGCTGCGTCCACATCGGGGAGCTGGTGGACCCCGTGGTGGAGCTGGCCGCCAAGCGCAGCGGCCTGGCCGTGGAGGACGTGCGCGCCAACGTGCCCGAGGAGCTGAGCGTCTGGATCGACCCGTTCGAGGTGTCCTACCAGATCGGGGAGAAGGGCGCCGTGAAGGTGCTGTACCTGGACGCCGGCGAGGGCGGGGCCGCCCCGGAGCTGGACAAGGAGATGAAGAGCAGCTTCAACCCCGACGCCCAGGTCTTCGTGCCCATCGGCAGCCAGGACGGCTCCCTGTCCAGCTCGCCGTCGCCGGCCTTGGGCCAGTCCCCCAGCCCCACCTTCATCCCCCGCTCCGCGCAGCCCATCACCTTCACCACCGCCTCCTTCGCCGCCACCAAGTTCGGCTCCACCAAGATGAAGAAGGGGGGTGGGGCGGCGGGTGCCGGCGGGGGGAGCGGCCCGCAGCCCCCGCCGCCGCCCCCGCGCCTGGCCCGCTCGCCCACCGGCAGCCTGCTGCGGCACAAGGGCGTCTCCCTGTCGGTGCACTCGCTGAACTTCATCTCGGCCGCGCCGGCCCCGCAGTCCCAGCTGTCGCCCAACGCCAAGGAGTTCGTGTACAGCGGCGGCAGCTCGCCCAGCCTCTTCTTCGACGGTGCCACCGCCGCCGATGGCCAGGGGGGCAGCCCGGCGCCCTTGGGGGGCAGCGGGGCCGGGCCCGGCGGCAGCAGCAGCAGCAGCAGCGGCGGCGGCGGCAGCGGCGGCAGCTTCGACGTGGCCCAGGTGCTGGGGGGCGGCTCGGGCAGCCTCTTCCTGGAGAAGTCGCCCTTCGTGGAGGGCCTGAGCTACAACCTGAGCGCCATGCAGTACCCCAGCCAGCCCTTCCAGCCCGTCGTGCTGGCCAACTGACCGGCGGCCCGGCGGCCCCCCGAGACCACAGCACAGGAGGGGAGAGGCCAGAAAAGGAGCAGAGGGAAACAACGTCACAAAGAGATCTCCCATCTCCTCACCACCCCCGTGTCCAGCAGGAAGAGGCGGCCCAGGCACAAGCGGGAGGGCCCCCCCGAACCCCCACCGCCTCCTCCTCGGTTAATTCAGGTTTAGATTTCTTTTTTCTTTTTCTTTTTTCTTTCCTTTTCTCCGTGTAGCTTTCGACATCGCTGGTTAGGGGCTGCCTGTGCCGAGGACGGGCGGGGCAGATGCGCGCCCCCCCCCCCCCCGCCCCTCCCGTGGACGGGAGCGCTGCCCTGTGTCACTGCCTCTGTCCCCTCCTCAGCCGTCCAACCTCAGCAGGCCCCTTCCAGGCCTGCCCCCCCAACACCTACTCCTCTCAGGCCGGCCGGGGTCTCCTGAGGGCGCCCCTCATCTCTGCCCCTTCTCCCCTGGGCCTGAGGTTGGGACTGGGTGCGACAGACGTGTGAAGGTGTGTGTGTGCGCGTGTCTGTGTGTGTGTGCGCACCCACAGTTGGTTTGCTGTCCTGTTTTAAAGGATTCCAAGCCATGTGAAACCTGACCCCTGGGTATGACTCCAAGTCGTAGCAAGTGCTCCTTTGTGTCTGGGGTTGAGGGCTGGAGTGGGGGGGGGGTCACACGGTGGCCGGTGGCTGGGGTCACGCCCAGGGAGGCCCCGCACAGGGAGCTGGTGCACTTGTTTGTTTTTGACCAAAAAGAGGGGGGCGGGGGCTGCCGCAGCCTCGGATGCAAAGGAAAGGCCCCTCACTTAGCCCCCAGGGTTTTGGGGGTCCGCACTGGAGCTGGCAGAATCTGAAGCACCAGCCGGGACAGGGGAGGGTCCCCGGGGTGTAGATATGTGAATGTCCCTGTCTGCTTGAGTACTCAGCACCCCCAGCCCCTGTCACCTGCCCAGCACACCTTGGGCGCGAGGGGCGGGGCTGGCGGGCCAGGATTCCTGCCCCTAGTGGGTTCCTGGCCCCCGCCCCCCCCCCGGAAGGTATCAACGCCCTCGGCAGCCCAGCTCCCCCCAAAACCCGCGTGAGCAACTGCTGTGGCAGCGGGTCCCACCCAGATGGGCACTGCCAGCCTTGCAGGGGAGCCAGCCCTACCTCCCTCCGCCCGAGGGGCATTGTCCTGGCTTCTGGCCCCCTCCCCCCAGCCTCATCCCACCCAGGCAGCTGCTCGGGGCAGGCTGGATGCTGCCTTATGCCCCCCTCCCGCCCCCTCACGAGCGACGGTACCAGCCCCGAGATCCTGAAATACCGAAGAAAACTTCAGGAGCGTCTGGGCTCTGGGGCTCGGTTCAGTCTGTCTCGTCTCAAATCTAGGCATTTTTGCTTCGGTTTTATTTTTTAAGAAAACAGAAAGGAGAATCTGCACTAATTTACCTGGTTTCGTAGGACAACCTTTTTTTTTTTTTTCTTTTTTGGTTTCTTTTTTACATTTTTTGGTGTCCGTTTGTATTGAATAATTTGCTACATTTGTAAAATGTAAGAAGTATATATAATATATGTATATTTCTAACGTAAAAGAAGTAATTTTTTTTCTTTCAAGATTTTTTCTTAAAAAAGTGGAGAGTAAGATATTTTTTCAGGAAAAACAAACTTTAAAATAAAAAAAAGAGGAGACTCAAACAACACCTTTTCTCCTTCTCCCCACCCCCCTTCCCAGGAACAAATGCAAGGCGTAGCGTTCGAGAAGGATGGACATTTTAGTTCAGAGGGATGAATTCTCGATGCCGTGAGCTGGAGGCTCTAAGCCTGGCCCCCGAGATGGGGGCGGCCGCGAGGCGCCACGCAGAGGAAAATGGGGGTTCGGGGGGGCCCAGCTCACGAGCTGCTTTTCTTTAGTGCCGGAAGAAGATAGCCGAGCATTTCGTACTCAGGATGTCGTGCAATATTTCAGAATGGGACATTGGTGTGTCTAGAGACGTAGTTTAAAAGCAGAACAAAAAAAGATTGATCAAATCTGTACAGTTTATATTGTTCCAGATTTTTTTAAGTTTGTATTAAAAGCATGATATATAATAGTCTCCCTGCTCGGGCTGGGCTGTGTGTTCTTGGGGCCGCCTCCCCGGGGGCGGGGGGGATCCGGGACCCCCTTCGCCTCTCTGGGCCCCGAATGGGTGTACCAAGGTGCCATTCTTACCCCATTTGAAGGGCGCAATGCTTGGTGCCCGCTCCAGAGGCACCCCAGGTGCCAGGGACAGGCAGCCCCTGCCCTCCTTGGGAAGCCCCGAGTCAGGAGGACAAGGTCAGGTCTTGCTGACCTTGAAACAAGGGTGGCAGGAAGCTGCGGCCATGCTGAAGGTGACCTGTGACCACTGCTATGGAAGGGGCTGGGTGGGGGTCTCTGGCCCCACTCCCCACCAGGAGGCCAGTTCTCGGCCCACATGGTGGTCCAGGAGCCCTCAACCTGGCCTGGTGGGCATCAGTTTTCCCCATTCCTGCCCCCGTGCCCATGTTCAGGCTGCCCACTTCCCCGGGGCTCTGCACACTCCCAACTGCTCCGAAGAACACAGGGACCAGGGGCCGGAGCCATAGCACAGCGGGGAGGGCGTTTGCCTTGCACACAGCCGACCCAGGTTCGATTCTCAGCATCTCATAGGGTCCCCTGAGCACTGTCAGGGGTAATTCCTGAGTGCAGAGCCAGGAGTAACCCCTGTGCATCACTGGATGTCACCCAAAAAGAAAAAAAATAAAAACGCTGAGCACAGCGGCTGCTTTGAAACGCCTGTCCGGGTTCAACGTCAAGGCCATTACTGTCCATCCTCAAAGGCCACCTGCTGGCCCAGCCCGTGCCTTCCCGCGTCAGTCGGCAACTGAGTGAAGCTGTCAGGGGACAGCTGTGGCATTAGTGGACAAGAGGCCGGCCCGGGCGGGCAGCTCCCGTGTCTCTTCCCCGCCCCGCTGCCGGGACAGTGCCCCGAAACCTGGGAGCGTCTCCCTGGAAAGCAGGTGGCGGCCCCGTGAGTCATGGCGGTGGGGCACCCCACTCCGGGCCTCATGTCATCTGAGTCAGTCAGGCCTGCCACCCTCAGCCCCTGCTGTGTTCTCTTCCTTCCCCTGTCTGGGCAGGGCCTGGGGACAGACTGGGAGCCACCGGGGGTCGCCAAGCCCCCAGGAAACAGGAACCTACTGAACTTCCAGATTTGTCTTTGAGGAAAACAGCAAAAAAGAGGGGCTGGAGAGATAGCACAGTGGGTAGGGCGTTTGCCTTGCACACGGCCGACCCGGGTTCGATTCCCAGCATCCCATATGGTTCCCTGAGCACCACCAGGAGTAGCCCCTGTGCATCGCCGGGTGTGACCCTAAAAGCAAAAAAAAATTCCTCTTGACACGGGGCCTGTTTGTGCAGTAAAGGTCAGCGGGGCCAGGTCCTCACTAACCATTGGACTTACCTCAGGACCCACAGTCCTGTCCCCACCGTCCCCTGAGCCTGGGCGGGTGCTGGAGGACCCTGTGCTGTGGCCCCCTTCCCAGCTGGGGAGGAACGTGGGGGACCTAGCCCGAGTGGGACCCTGTGGCTGCCAACTCAGCACCCCGAGAGAACCCTCAGGGAAGCGCGGGCAGGAGCGGAGGCCTGGCCCAGCTGACCGTGCATCCGGCCGGCTCTACCGCACAGACCCCCCGTTCCCACTCAACACCCACTCAACACGGACGCGCCAGACTCATCCAGGCGGGAGGAAACCGCATGGCCAGCGGCAGACAGTCCCCTTTCGCCTGACTGGTTCCCCATCCCCAACGTCAGCTGGCCTGTTAGCCTGGGGGGAGGGGACACTCCCTAGTGGCTTTCCTTCATCAGATCAGCAGCCGAGAGGACGGAGAGAAACCAGCCAACCCCTTCTTTCTAGACCCAAGGACCAGCATGGTGTCCCCACAGAAAGGCCAGCACGGGGCTGGAGTGAGAGTGATAGCACAGCGGGGAGGGCGTTTGCCTGGCATGTGGCTGACCCGGGTTCGAGTCCCAGCATCCCATATGGTACCCTGAGCACGGGCAGGAGTGATTCCTGAGTGCAGAGCCAGGAGTAACCCCCTGTGCATCTGACCCAAAAAAGCAAATAAATAACAGGCCAGCCAGAGGACGGCCCGCGGCTCAGGCACTGCGGAGGACACTGCCTGGGTGCATCGTGGCCTCCCTCCCACCTGGCCCGATTGGGGTTTCGCTAATGTGAAGGACCAGAGACATGGTTCAGCCCCTTAAGCACTTGCCTTGTGCGCAGGCAACTCGGGTCCGATCCCTGGGACCACATATGGTCCTCGAGCACCACCAGGAGTGAACCCCAAGCACAGGAGAAAGGCCTGAACTCCACTGTGGGCCCAAAACCAAACAAAGGAAAAATGGAACAGGGACTGTCAGGGTAAGTGCTTCATTCAGGGGCCTCCCGGGGCCCTTCCTGCGTGGACCAGATGGGCCCAGATGCGCTCTAAGAGGGGTTGTGAAGGACCTATACCCTATATGGCAGAGAAGACAAAAGGTAAAATTAGAACTTGATAAAAAGGAAACAGAAGATCCCTCTCAGTCTCCAGGATAGAAAGACAAGTGACAGACTGGGAGGAAGTATTTGCAAACTAGCTGATAAAGGCTCCTGTCTCCAGCATCCCCGAAGAACCTTCTAGTGTCAAACAGTCCATACCAAGGTGGAAGTTTGGAGAAGGCTGGGAAGGTGCTCGAAGCTGGAGGTACAGCGGTTCCCTCCCAGGGGCAAGGCCCCGGCTCCAGCCCCCACAGAGAGCCAGGGAGAAGTCTGAGGGGACAGGAGTTGGGAGCAGAGTGCAGATCCAGTCACCTTAAGGGGGCCGGATCCATAGCACAGCAGGGAGGGTGTTTGCCTTGCACATGGCTCACCTCCTTTCAATTCCCAGCATCCCAGATGGTACCCTGAGCACCGCTAGGAGTGATTCCTGAGTGCGGAGCCAGGAGTAACCCCTGTCTATCGCCGGGTGTGACCCAAAAAGCAAAAAGAAAAAGTTAGGTGTCGGGGCTGGAGCGATAGCACAGCAGGTAGATGTTCGATCCCCAGCATCCCATATGATCCCCTGAGCACCGCCAGGAGTAATTCCTGAATGCAAACCAGAAGTAACCTCTGTGCATCGCCGGGTACGACCCCTCCCAAAAAGAAGAAAAAAGAAAGTTAAGTGTCAGCCCGAGGCAGCCCAACCATCACCATCTCCAACGGTTGGCCCAGAAGAAACAGAAATCATTGTCTGTACAGAGAGGGGTGCACGGATGTTCCGAGGGCTTCCTGTGTTAGCCACAGATTTAAAATCCAATGAACTTGAGGGGTGTGTGGGGGGAGGGCTGAAGATTCCAGGGTCTCCCCTCCAAGGAAAAGTATTCACCAGGGAAGAGAGGGAAACTACAGCACATGTCATACACATATATCATGTCATATATCTCAAAGTACATACTGTTGGGATTTATTTCTAGAGCATTCTCAAAAATTCAGGCAGAAGGGGCTCCCAAGGGTGGGGGGCAAGGGAAATCATGGGAAATACTGAATATGTTCATTATTTTGATTGCTGGGATAGTGGAACAGGTATAGGGTATGTCAAAAGTTATCAGATGGGGGGCTGGAGTGATAGCACAGCGGGGAGGGCGTTTGCCTTGCACGCGGCCAACCTGGGTTCGATTCCCAGCATCCCATAGGGTCCCCCAAGCACCAACAGGAGTAATTCCTGAGTGCAGAGTCAGGAGTAAACCCTGTGCATTGCCGGGTGTGACCCAAAAAGAAAAAAAAAAGTTATTCAGGGACTGGCTCGGTGGTCTGAAATTCCGGCCTTGAGACTGGAGGACGGGACAGTGAGGTGCTGATCAGGTGTGTTCCCTGGCACCCTTATACCACCAGGAGTGATCCCTGAGCACAGCCAGGAGAAAAGCCCTAAGCACTTTCAGGTGTGGCCCACCCCAAAACACAAAAACCCAGTTGCCATGCAGGGAGGAGGCATGGTTGTTTGTTTTTCTTGGCTTTTTGGGTCACACCAGGTGATGCTCAGGGGTTCCTCCTGGCTCTGCACTCAGGAATCACTCCTGGCGGTGCTCGGGGCGGTGGGGGGGTACCACTGGAATGCTGAGGATCAAACCTGGGTTGGCTGCGTGCAAGGCAAACGCCCTCGCCGCTGGATGGTCGCTCAGGCCCCAAGAGAAGGCGTGCGTCTGCCAGTGTGTCCTGCTTGCGGCATCTCTGTGGGACGCCCCCCCCCAGCACTAAGTCTGTGATCCCCAGAGCTCAGCTGGGCGTGTCCGAGCTCTGTGTGGGGGCCCCACGGGCAAACCCCCATGGCAGGCAGCCCAGGTATCCTGACGCTGCAGGGCCTGAGTGGCACCTCGCTCTGGGACATCACACCCACCCACTGGCCCAGCTGACCAAGAATCGGAGACCAGGAAGGCACCAAGTGTGCCGGCAGATGGACAGTGCCCCCCTCCCCTCCCCGTGTCACTGCCTCAGGCACTAGAGGGGTGGCAAGGGCAGCTGGAAGGGGCACCGCAGGCTCGGGACCCAGGGCGCCTGCCCAGGGCTCGAAAGGGGCGGGTCCCCTCTCCTGAGGCCCCTCCTCTGTCTCTGGCACACCCCTCGCTGCCTAGGGCACCCCCCCCCCACCTCTCTCTCTGCAGCCCGCGTTTCCTCGCTGGGCACTGGGGAGACCATGCCCAGCCCCTGGTGGACCCCACACTCCTGGGGTTCGCGGGCACTAGGGTCAGGCAGGACACCAGGCCCAGAGCAGGGAAACAGGCCACTTGGAGCATGGCTGGACGTGCCCAGTCACGGGGAGCGTCCCAGGACGGGGGGCTGGGGCAGGGGGCACCCCCTGAGTCGGGCTCTCCAGGGAGGCACTAGGCCTGCGTTCCGGGGGGGGGCTCCGACCTCCTGCTCGCTCGGGACAGGCCTGGGACAGGCTGGCCTGGCTCAGGGCCCAGAGGGGCGGGCCAGGTCAGCGGCCACCACGGGGGGCCCTCTTGGCCCTCTCTCTGGACACAATGTCCTGGACCGCGCCACGGCTTGGCTGGCGGACAGGGAACAGTGGCTGGCCA